AAAGAAAAAAAAGTGTCTCCCTCACCGTCCTCTCTCCCTCTCTCCAAAGATACACTGATATCAACATACCTAATTGACAGAATATTTTTCTTTTCTATTAATTTATTTGTTTTGAGTCTGTATTTCCATCCAGTACTGCTTGAATCTTACAGTATCTTATATATGTGTCGAGTCAGAAAAAAAATTGTCAAACGAATATGATCCTGGATGCTTCTTTTCATTTTTTTTTTTTTTTTTGTCCAAATGGCGTTCTGACTGCTTATTTAGTTGTTTGTTTGTACATATGTTTGAATTTTTGTGGTCGACTGTGTGTTCTGAAGTGGCAGACTAAAAAGCTTACGGCTGTTACCCTTTTCAAAAAGTTGTAAGGCATATTTTTATACACGTCAATATAATATTTTATATATGAATTGTTGGTTTATTTAATGAACTACAGTACAATGCCATGTATTTTTATATTGTCAGCAGTTTTCTTATTTAAAGACAGAGATTATTTTATTTCATGTTAGGGGAAGTGTTGTGCTTTAAAGGCACCTTTATGGCAAAACTCATCACATTCATCAGAGCTCTATTCAACTGCTGCACATTTTATGGTTATATCTCATGTTTTTAATTTCCTCTTTTTTATTTATGCTTTGTTTATTTGAGAATGTTTTTTTTTATTTTTTTATTTTGGCACATCATACTTTTCAATTCTGATTTCAACAGAGGACAAAAAAAAAGATCAAATTTGTTATTGTTCCAGTCTGTCTTTCCCGAGTCCTTGCAAAAAGTCATGAAATTGTGTGATATTAAAAGTGTGATTAGAATTTATCTATTTCTGAACAATCTTGTCGTGCCAATGTGTGTGCCGTGATGAAAGGTCCGTGCACAGAGGACCTGTAAGATTTACAAATATGAAAAATAAAAACGTGATGAAAAATCAAAGTGGAGAAGAATAAAACATATATTAATATAACAACTGCTGTGGGCTGTGTCTTCTTAAAGTGTCCAGCTCTGCTGACGTGTGGACATTCAAGTAGAAAATCTTCTTTTTAAATGTGCAACAAGATATAGATACACACGAGCAAACATCAGATAATCCTAAAAATGCAAGAAACATGCGACACCTCTTTAAAGGCAAAAGATGCTCATAACATTACTGATCCAGACTTTATAGGAGGAGACATTTGGTCTTTGGATGGATTTTTCAACAGCACTGAATTGAAACTATTACTTTAGGAAAGGATTTTAATACTTTATGGTTAAGCTATCCATTTTATCAAAAGTCAGGGGGGGGCTGAAGCCGATCCCAGCTCTCATTGGCCGAGAGGCAGGGTACAACCTGGACTGTTTGTCAGTCAATCACAAAGCTGACATAGAGACAGTCAAACATTCACCAATGGCAATTTAGAGTCACTATTAAACATAAACAAGCATGTCTTTGGACTTTTAGAGGAAGCAGGTGTAATAAGAGAGAACCTGCACATGCACAGAGAACAGAGAGGCCCCTCATTTGAACCAGGAACCTTCTTGTGATGAGGCAGCGCTACCCACAGCACCACTGTGCAAAAATTGTTTGAACTAATCAGAAATTGGATTATAAAATTAAGTAAGAAAGTTATAATAAAAACATACACAAGTGCCCACAAAGCCCCTTTAAACAATGCAAATAATCCAAGAGTCTGCAGCTGTAGAGAGGCGCTGTATCGATATGTACGCCCTGTTTCTACTGCACTCGTCCTGCTTGGAACCATGAGGATGGATTCCTTACCTCGTGCTCTTTATGGTGTCACCATGACTTTCATTTGAGATTTCATGTGATATCAGATTCTTGGTCAGACTGGTCAGATGAAACTGGTCCCTCACAAGAAACCAGACAAAACTACGTCCGTGACTTGATCGCTCGCTCTGCCGTGAAGACTCGGCACAGACAGAATGATGATGGAGGAAACATTTTGTAGCACTGAAGACACACAGCAGGACAAACGTGCAACACCACTCGAACACTGAGAGAGTCCGTTGTCTTCAGTGAGCAGGCAGTCTCTGCAGTGGGAAAATTATTCTAATATTTTTGCTAATTCAAATTTATTATTCTCAGAAAAATATCAGATATCTGCAGGAGAAGAGACCTTGAGACATTTGTCTGTTTTATGATCTGCAAAGAAAAGGAGATGCATCTTATGCCAAGCTCTTGGATATGATTTTGTTTTAGGCTTAAAACCCCAAATCCACAGAGTAATCTCGAGCAAAAGTTAAATATGTACAGGAAGAAGCATGCTTTGGGATCGACTGTGGGAAGGTTTTTGGAGGAAGAGCATTGATGTTTCATAAAGAGTCTGACCCTTTAACTAATACATCACTTCTGCAGAGTCATTCCTGAAGCCTTGGTCTGCAGCACTGAGGTTTTTCCTCTGAATCATCAGCAGCACATGAACAGGTTATTGTGTATTACTGAGTCAAAAAAAAAAAAGCCTTTACAGTTTGAGACTCAAATCCATTTGCTGCGCCCGTGAGAACCTTTCTCTGCAGCAAGAGACAAATTACAAATTAGAGCACATTAGAGTCATGCTGCTTTTCTGCCATTACCAGGCACATAAAGGATCATTTTTCTCCTGCTTCGCAACACAGGGAACAGATACATGCCTGTTTCCAAGGTAACAGCATAGAATATCCCATTGTCCATGCATACTATAAAATGAAGAAGAAGAAAAAAAACTGAAGGAGGAAGCATGATCCTTTGTAGAATCACACCACCACACGTCCTACTTCTCTATCTGGGGTGTTTGCTATTCTTGGAGATTCTTTTCTGTACATTGAGCATGAGATGAAGCCAGTAACATGTCTGTCGAGGACTATATATCCACCTGCTGGTTTGTATCGCTGCATTAAAAAAAAAAAAGTGTACAATTTAGATGTAAGTCATGACAGCACATTTATATTTGTAAATGACATTTGTAAGCAGACAATTATCCGGGTCAAAGTTTGGAAAATCTCCAGATTTAAATTAATAAATAATTGCTCCCAAATATTTCTATGACACACACTTGTTCTGCAGCACCAGTTAAAGTTCTTGTGAGAGTAGTGACGAGAGATTGTGCACACTGAGGGTCATTTTTTCTTCAACTGGGTTTCCCATCACTCTCACTACTTTGCTGATTTATTTATTGGGTAAAATACACATTTGTTGACATCATTATGCTACAAATGCTTCACATGTGATGACTTTTTTCATTAAAATAAGAAATGTCTTTTGCCTGAAAGGAGCTTTTCACTCAGAGAAAATATATGTGCAGTCTGTTAGAACCAGTGCTGCGTTCAAAGTACATGGGAAAATGGGATATTCTTAAATACTTAAATGGGAACAGCTCTTCAGCTTGGATAAACATTATAAATTTAATAGAATAAATGACTAATATGAATAGAAAAGGAGTCACTTAAACACACAGTTTGTATTCCTGTCATTACAAACTGTAGTAAAGCACAACCACACATCACTGCACTGCTCATTTAATGACAGAGCTGAAACAATGCTTCACATAAAACTGTGGATGCTTTGTTTCTGTAAGACATTCAAGCTTCATGTTGAGACTTTGTTTATGGACTTACTGCCCCCCAGGGGTTGAAAATCTTTGTAGTCATGTTTATAGAAATCTGTTGCATCATATAAGTGCAAATATATTTGGGCTCCTCTAGTCAAAGTTCAACACTTAATGTTTTTATTTTGCATGGTTCAACCCTCAGAAGTATCAGATATTCTTTACTTATCGGAGATAACTTGAGTTATGGTAGCTTTCCGTTGTATCCATTATCATCACTCAGCTCCTCCTAAAACAGTGAACATCATTGTTATGCAGTTTCCGTTACTGTATTTTCATCTGGACTTATTTTGGTCAATGCAAAGTTTTTATAGATTACATTCAAGTGTTGCAGAAATGGACAGATAACAGAAGTAACCACAAGAAGTAAGTATCAGGGATGGATAAATGTATCTATGAAGCAAAGTGTCACATTTTATAAATTGATTTAATATACTGCTTGTAAAATCAGTAAAGTTTCTCCAGCTGTCAGATAAATGTAGTGGATTAAAAGTGCAATAATTAATTCACTATTTAAACATAAAATGTCATAGAGAAAAAAAAATGTTATCAAGTAAAAAAAAAGGTAACTCAGATGAGTAGAAAATAAAAACTTGAGAAATAAAATGTTCAATCGTAAGCTGTAAACAAAATGAATTTTGTTCAGACCTATTTCCTTAGTTGACATTCTGTTAATTTATATTGTATGCAACTGGTGTACTTGAGATTTGAGTCCTTACTTTCATGTTGATGTCAAATACATCCTTGTGTTCACAGTAATGTTTTTCACCTATTTACCTAGCATTTTTTATATGGCAGGGAAAGTACATTGAAGTGAACAGTGAAAGAGCTGGAGGGAAAGTACTAAGTGTCCAAATACTTTGCCACAAATATGACTCTGTTTCATTTCTATAGCAAGGTTTGTCACGAGGAAAAAAATCAACTATTCCAAGCAGAAAGGAAACATCTGTGCGACAAAATAATGCCTCTGAAGACTGCATTTTGAGTACATTACATCTACATTTTAACATTTTCTCTATTTTTTTAAATCTAAAAACCAAGTCTGTGACCACCTTTAACCTCTATTATTGTCTTGTGTCACTTGGGCCTTTGTATTTGTATTTTATTTGTCTTTCTCTGTTACCTGCCTAGGGACAACAGATGGAAACTAGCACTTCCGCTATAATCTGGCATCTTTGCAGCTGTAATTGGTACAGCTGTTCATTAATATGCACTGTCCCTAACAAATAAATAAAAAAATAAAAAATAAAATACTTCACTATATGGTAAAACTATAAAACTGGTGAGTAAGATTGGAGAGCTGATAATTCCTACCGAGGACCGTACACGAACGCAGCATTTCACCGCTACGTCGTCGCTGGACTAAAAAAAAAAAAAGTATCGATTTCATTGGCGCGTTCCAGCTGTCAATCACAAACTCCCCACGTGGTTGATAATAACATGGGGTGGACTGGAGGGGGCGGTGGTGGACTGTCAGAGAATACTAACATTATAACACAACGCTGAAGAGTAATGACTCATCTCGCGGGGTTTAATCGTTAAATTGTGCTTTTTAAAAAAAACACAACTGCCTCAGTGTGACGTCATCCCACAGGCGACCTTTGGTTCGGTTGTCGTCGAGACCCCGGGGAGGAGCAGCTAATGCTAACGTTAGCTGAATTAGCTCAGTGACGGTAGCCATCAGGAAGCGAAGTGTCAGCGCTCTGAACCGGGACGAGGAGAAGCCAGTCCGCGGTCATGGCTGCCCTCGGTAACTCGGGGGCCTCTTCCAGTCCCATGGTGATCCTGGCGCCCAAGACAAAAACGAAAAAGAAGCACTTCGTACAGCAGAAGGTGAAGGTGTTCCGAGCCAGCGACCCCGTCCTGAGCGTCTTCATGTGGGGCGTCAATCACTCGGTGAGTCGGCTGGATGCTAACACGTAGCCCGCGTATGCTAATGCTGAAGAGTAACCACCACCACTGTAACTGTGCCATGTAAATTAAGCTAGCTCTGTTAGCAGGAACTTAAGCTAGGTGGGTGCGCAGAGGGGGAGAGGTGTTGCGTCAAAATCTGCACCCTGTCAAATTATGTTAAACTTAAAACACACCTGTTTCTGGTACATAGCTATCTAAATGAGACACGAACACTAAGGGGGTATTTATTTATTTAATTATTCTTTATTTAATTTTATTTATTTAATTTTATTTAATTTTATTTATTTAATTTTATTTAGTTTTTTTATTTATTTATTTAGTTTTTTTATTTATTTAGTTAGTTTTTATTTATTTTATAAATTAATTTATTTAGTTTTTTTATTTAATTTTTGTTTAGTTTAGTTAGTTAGTTAGTTACTTGTTTGTTTGTTGGGACAGTGCATATTAATGAACAGCTGTAAAAAATGCCAGATTATAGCAGAAGTGCTAGTTTCCACCTGTTGTCTCTAGGCAGGTAACAGAGAATGATAAAATACAAAGACAGTAATAGAGGTTAAAGGTTAAAGGTGGTCACAGACTTGGTTTTCTTGTATCCACTGTTTGAGGTGTGTTTTGACGGTTGCATATATTTCTAGTAGCTATTCAAATTCTGTCAAGATGCTTTGGATTTGCCTTTTTTTGGGGGAATAGCTATTAAGAACCCACTTAGGGGGAAAAGTATTTGCAGCTAAAATGTCTTTTAGGTCACTCGATTAGATGGGAGAAAAAATGCAGCATGACAGGTATTACATCAGCTAATGTTACATTCTCATGTGTGTTTGAGCAACTGTCCCCTGTCAGTGAAGTCTGTATGGCACTATTTCATGGCATTGTTTTAAACCACTAAAGCAAAATAAGATGAGATAAGATCGGATAATACTTTATTGATTTTCGGGGGGGAATTCTGGCGCTGCAGCAACTCAGATAAAAATAACAAGTACACATGAAATAGAGGGTTTAATCGACTTGTATACAGAGGAGTTAAGTGAACCCTACAGGACATTTGCTGCAGGCAGTATAAAAACAGTTTTAAGAATGTATTTTTGGGGGACTTTATGTGGATAGGACAGTGCATAGACGTGCAGGAAAGGAGCAACAGGTGAGACTTGAACCTGGGTCGCCATACCTCCGTACATGGGGCGCGACTTGGATAACATTTTAACATAGTATAGTATTGAACTGTACAATATCAATCAAATCTGTATTTGTGTAGCGCCGATTCATAACAAATGTTGTCTCGAGACACTTTACAAACAGAGCAGGTTTACATCGCACTCTGTTGTATTATTTACTAAAAACCAACATTAATCCACCATGAGCACAGCATGTTGTGGTGAGGAAAAAGTTGCTTTAAGAGGCAGAAACCTCGAGCAGAACTGGACTCATGTTGGACAGCCATCTGCTGAAACTGTGTTGGGCTTGTAAAGTAGGATAGAGGGAGAAGCAGGCTTTTCCCGTTCTGGGTTGGGGAGCCGATTCCAGCTGTCATTGGACACCCTGGACTGTTAGCTAGTCAACCACACGGCTGAAATAGAGACACACAACCCCTCTCACACTCACACCTACGGGAAATTTTAGAGTCACCAATTAACCTAACGAGCATGTCTTTGGACTGTGGGAGGAAGACGATACAAACTCCACACAGAGAGGCTCCTGTCCTTCAGGTTTTTAAAACCAGGAACCTCCTCGCTATGAGGCAACAGCGCTAACCACCGCGCAGCCCTCAAAGTACTATTTGTGCTACTTTAATGTGAGACTTGATGATAGTGTGTAAGTGTTATCCTTCCTTCTTTCAGATCAATGATCTCAACCAGGTGCCTGTTCCTGTCATGCTGCTTCCCGATGACTTCAAAGCCAACACCAAGATCAAAGTCAACAACCACCTCTTCAACAAGTAAAATAAATACACTTTAACACTTTGACAGGAATTTAATATAAAAAGCTTTCTGATGCTTACCAGAGCCTTGTTTCTGTTGGAAAAGTTCAGCCTTGTGCCTCAAAGAAGCATTCACAGGACTGTCGAGTTTTACAGATGTGAAGCCGAATGTTCAGTTTATTTTCCTCGTCTTCTTTCACAGAGAAAATCTTCCGGGACATTTCAAGTTCAAAGAATACTGTCCTCAAGTCTTCCGAAATCTAAGAGAACGTTTTGGGATCGAGGATCTGGACTATCAGGTTTGTGACGTACATGCACAAGGATTCATTTTACAAAGGTTACACGCTTAATAATTCTGACAGATAATAATCATCACTGCCCCCCTCGCTCCCTCCCCAGGTGTCATTAACCCGCAGCTCCCCAATGAGGAGTGCAGACGACCAGGGAGACTGTCTGCTGCTCAACTCGTACGACCGCACGCTGGTCATCAAACAGATCTCCAGCGAGGACGTCGCAGACATGCACAGCATCCTGTCCGAGTATCACCAGGTGAGGTCTGCACAGTTTAATGCAAAGTCTGTGTTTCTTTTCTTCTTGGAAAGAGAGGACGACACCTTGTTGTGATGATGTCATCTCTTAAATATGGATGCACAGATCTACTTTTCCAGTCTTTGTACTGAGTAAAAAGACGTCTGATTTAGTTATTGTCACCACTGGCACACACTGAACGGCTCCATTTTGATTTTGAAAACTATACTTGTTATCCATAGTTAGGCGCTTAGCTGACATGATTGACAGGTGGGCGTGATGTAACGGTTTGTCAATAGGCTTAAAACCCGCCTCAGTCTGTCGTTAGGTAGACTGAAAGTTAGACTCAGACAGCATTTCCAGGGTCACTGGGTTTAGCCTTAGGCAGGGTGAGGAGCTGAGACATTCAGGGGGGGTCGGAGTAGAGCAGCTACTCCTTTGCATTGAAAGTAGCCAGTTGAGGAGGTTTGGGAATCTGATCAGGATCCTCCTGGTCGCCTCCCTTTTTTGGAGGTTTTCTGGGCACAACCAACTAGGTGGAGACCCCGAGGTGTCTCGCTCCTCCAGAGCCGTTGAATCCCCCTGGAGGAGCTGGAAAATGTTGCTGAGGGAAGTCTGAGTTGATGGATGGAGATCTGTGACTCTGTGCCCCAGTTAAAGTAAATCCTCTTAACCTTTGTTTTGGATCGTGTTGTGGCTAAAAAAAACAAAACTTGTGAGACAGTTTGTCACAAGGTTTTCTAAAAGAAGAACTTAGTCTTTGGGGAGAATTTGTCTGCCTCCTAGGTGAGGGAAGTTGACCCAGATTTGACTATTTTAAGCCTTTTGCTCGCCAGAAGTAGCAACATGGTGCACTTTGCAGGGAGAGGACGCCGTGTTAAAGCTGAGGACGGCTAACATTTGTCCTACTGACGTGTTCTCCAGAAAGGGCCTACATTTCTGTTCATCAGGCTGAACTCACTCCTGGTCTCCCTCTGTGTGGGGGGGGGACGGGGGGGGGGGGTCAGTGCCCATTATCATCAAGGTTACATCAGTCAGTGCGTTTACATGGGATAGCTTGTTAGGATTAAGCCAGATACCGATTCGCTTGTCTGATACGCCGATCAGAGAATCGTATAAATGGCCGGAGCATGGCAGACTCCTCTACACGATGTGGCGCTGTACCCCTTTCAACACGTGGTTACAGAGGTGGTTACCGAGGTGGTTACCGCTTCCTGTTCACCTAAACGTCACAGCAACAACAAACTCTCTGTCTGCATTCAAACAAAGATGGCGTACAAGGAGATGGACGACACTACAGCTACGTACATTATTTACATTCTAATAATCGTTGTAGTTGTTTGACCTTTCCGGCAACAACACTACGATTTATTACGTCGTCTCGGCGGAAATTCTCGAGCATGCGCAGAACGCGAAATCCAATTACGACACGATGGCTGAGTTTACACGCTGTTAGTTTGCCGACTATGAAGGACTTATCCAGGTGTTCTTTTCCAATTATGAGGTTTCCGTTATGGTCCGATGTAGGTCGGACTAAGATGTTTACATGCATTTTAAAAGTCCAAACAGTGTCCGATACAATCAGAAATTTGAATATCTAGTGCCATGTAACCCTACTGAGTGTTGAGTATAGAAGCTGAACACATGTTCTGTTACGATCGCTGGCTTATTAAAGATATGCAAATGCTCCTATCTCTCCACATCATGTAAATAGTTGAGTACATTTCCAGCAGAGACGGAAACACGCTGCATCTTGTTTGTGTGTTTTCATCTCTCATGCTGGACGGTCTGTTATCACTGTGCTCGTACTCGTGTGGCTGAGCTGCGAGGATCCTTAAAATCTGCGTCTCTCTCGAGGGCTGAAATACCAGCAAGTAAACTTTTGGCTGCTTTGAGCTCAGACTGGAATGTGTAGTCGGTTTGTTTCGCAGCCTACAGAGAGCTAGGGGAGGGGAGTGGAGGAAAAATAGCAGCTCTGTTTCACAGTGTTTGTTATTTCACTTGGCCCTGAATGAACTCCTTGTTAACGGAGCTCCTGTGTTGGCATCACACAGTCTCGTCAGTTTATCAGGACAGTTTGCAGATTGCAGATAATTTGTTCATTTTCTTTTATCTGGGGGGCGTGTTCAGTACGTCGAATACTCAACAAGTAAATTCTAAATTCATCTGATTTCTTGTCTGTCTGTTGCTCTCTCATCTCAGCTAAATATCAAGAATCAACATTTTAGACAGGCTTTTTACATTTTCTGTCCTTTTTGATTTTGTTGGATTAATTGGCAGAACATCGAGGATCTGGTCTTTTTCTGGCAGTTGTTGGGATTTCATTCTTAAGGCCAGCCTTTCAACCTCTCGATCTAAATTTGACAACATTTATCGTGCTGTTTTTTTTTTACTTTCTCGTTACACAGAAGGACAATTCAGTCATTTTCTGACCACATTCTATTTTTAACATCCTGAGCACAAAAAGAGCACACATCCTGTTTGAAGACACTTTGATGTATTTACAGGAGGAGCAAAAGATGTAACAGCCGGCCCTCTCTCCTCTTACATCAGTCCTCGCTGTGTATCTATGTACCTACTAAAGTATGTTCACAACAGCTAAAGTTCTAAAAAAGTGTCTGTTTTCATGAACTGCCGCTCCATGCACCGGCTCTCTTCTGACTCTCTCTCTAAGGCTCTGAAGTGCCCACGTTCAGAGTCCCCACGTGTGCCAAGTCTGATCTGATTGGTCGGCCTGTCGGCTCTGCTGTAATTGGTCAGTTGCTCAGCACGGTTCTCGGAAATGTCACGCCCCTTTTACCATATTGGGAATGCAGCCACTTTGGCTCCGAGGGGAGCAAAAACATTAGCACCTTAGCACTACTGTGCTACCGCAGGCTACGGCATATCGTGGGCGTGCTACAGAAGTTAACGGGCGTGCAACATGAGCTGCTGGGCTCGCCACAACGAGCCAATGGGCTTAGATCAGTGATATCACACTGACAAGACGTCACACTGGCAAATTTTTATCGAGGGGGGCTAGAACCGAGCGTTACATGCAGCTAATGCTGCAGCTAACTGGAGGCGGTAGGAGAAGCCGCGTTTCCACGGACTTTGAATTTTTGTACATAGATGTGCCTAAACATGCACAGGACACTTGGAAAACACACTAAAGAGCATATAAAACCAGAAAAAGCAGAATATGGGACCTTTAAATGATAGCTTGATCCCATATCAGACCTCCAGAGCGTCTTATTGTTTTCATTGAAGCTTGTGGCTGATCTTAAACCTCTGTAGTTCTGTAGCTGGAAGTCGGATCCAGCTCTCTGTGATGCTGTGTGAGAGTTTTCACTTTGCCAGGTGTCCAAGAGGTAATCATGTATACAAAAGAAACATGCACACAACAAAAAAAAAAACTGCAGACTGTTGTCTTTTAACATCCTGTATTTAGATGAGATCACGCTGAAGTTAGCGTCTGTATTAACAGCTGAGCTCAAAGTCTAACCTGTCGACATTTAGTAATTGAGTGCCTGTGCCTGTAAGAGTCTCCACATATTATCTATCGTCTGTGAATCTGTCCTCGACTCTTTCTACCTGTTACACGGTTGAACGATAAGCAGAAATGCAGAAAGTGTTCCTCTTTGTGTAAAAACAGTTTCCTCTCCCCTGCAGCACATCGTGAAGTGTCACGGCAGCACCCTGCTGCCTCAGTTCCTCGGTATGTACCGGGTGAGTGTAGACAACGAGGAGACCTACCTGATCGTGATGAGGAACATGTTCAGCCACAGACTGCTTGTGCACAGGAAGTACGACCTGAAGGTGAGGAGGAAGTGCACGCACATAAAATTCATACCTTTTTTATTTTTTATTACACGTTATGGAGGTCATGACGGAGGTTACTGAGGAAACAGGGAAGTCACCTTCTCCTAAAACTCAATTTGTGCTCTTTCATCCGCCGTCGTTTTTTTGTATAAAATCTCTGATTGTGAGTCTCCTGAGCTTTTCTTTTCCCCAATGGTTTTATAGCTTTCAGTTAAAGTCGTAAAGCACAGAATCGTTAAAATCAGTTTTAAACTTGTCAGAGAAAACAACAACAAGTCCTTCGTAAAGCATCAAGTATTTCGACTCCCTCTGGACTTGTGCCAGATTTCCTTGCCCCCCCCTTACTGGCTAAATTCTACCAAATGGGGGATTAACGCTGGGTTGCTGCAAATAATGTAACAGAGCACGGTCTAGACCTGCTCTTTTTTTTTTAAAGTGTCTTAAGATAACATTTGTTGTGGCGCCGGTGGCCTAGTGGTTAGTTTGTGCTCCCCCATGTGCAGAGGCTACAGCCCGGTCTAAATAGGACTAAGATCGGACTTTAACTGATTTTTATTTGTGAATTGTGAAAACCTACCCTCTACATCTAGTTTTTCTTTTTGCTTGATTCAGAAACAGTAAGCTCCCCGGTTCTGTGGTTCACATGTTGCAGTAAACAATCGATTTATAAGAAAAATCCAACTTTAGGAAAGCATTATGGACAAAGACACTCAGACTTTCTGCACCCGTCTTTCCCAAATCCCGGCGGAAAGGGGGACAAACAATGGACAAATACCTATAAGAGGATTAAGGAAGTCTGTTAAGTAGTGAAGGTTATGTGCAATGTAAATTATTCTGTGCTTTGCCTAATGAAAAGAGAAAAAAAAAAAAAAAAAGAAACAGGCAGCCCGGGTTCAAATCCGACCTGTGGCTCCTTTGCTGCATGTCATTCCGCTCTCTGATTTCTGACTCTATCCACTGGCTCTGTAATAAAAGCATAAGAAGCTTTACTCTGTCATCAAGTTTATGTACCAGTTTGTGTTTCAGTGTTTTATTAGTAACAACAGTGGCATAAATAAAAGTACATTAGTTTCTTCATCTTTAGAAACTAGTTGTCTCTAATTTGTCTCTGGGTCTTGAAGGAAAAAGTCAAAGTGCTAACTTAAATCTTTTCTTTTCTTTTTTTTCACAACTTTTTTAGAGTTTTGAGACATTCAGATATATGTTCGACAGGTTCTTCAGTAAAATAAGAGTAATTTTAAGTTAAAAAAAACAAAACAAAGAAAAGGAGACAACTAGAACACAACACAAACTAAGCTTGGCCGTTCAACGAGTTACAAAAACAAAATAAACACAGTATGTATTTGAGGTAACTATAGCACATTATGCAGAAGGGCTATAAAAGACAAAAGAATGAAAACCGATCAACTAAATGTTTTGTTTTCTAACCTGAAATACTTTAACCATGTTCCCGTGTCATTAATGAAACATTTTCTTCCTGCAGGGCTCTCTGGTGGCGCGTGAAGCAAGCGACAAAGAAAGGGTAAAAAAAAATAAAAAAAAAAACCTCCCGTCTTCTTTTCATTGAATAAATTTATGTGGCCGTCTGTCCTTTTTTTTTTTTTTTTTTAACCAACCGTTCATTTATCTTCCAAAAGGGAAAAGAGCTTCCTACCTTCAAGGACATGGACTTCAGGAACAACATGCAGAAGGTGTACGTCACCGACGAGCAGAAGGAGAAGTTCATGGAGAAGCTGAACAGAGATGTGGAGGTAAAAAGTCTTAATCGTTGTTTTTACACACATCGTCCACAGAGCGGCAGCATCCTCACATCACTGACGCTCTGAGGCCGTTTCAGCAGGATGGATGTGAAACTCGCTTCTAAAAGAGGGAAATCTGGACGTCACACTTTAAATTGATGAGCACATAAATGGCTCTCCTCCCAACAGTCTCTCCTCCGCTGTCTTTTCTAATAAAGGCCCCAAAAATGACTTAAAATAACTAACTGTCCTTTTTCCTGTTTCCTTTCAGTTCCTGGTGAAGCTGAAGATCATGGACTACAGCCTGCTGCTCGGCATCCACGACGTAGGTCGAGCGGAACGAGATGACGAAGAAGGCGAGGAGGTTTCCAACGAGGAAGACCCCGAGGCGGAGAACGGCTTGGCGGCGGGCGCGACGGCGGGCTCCTACGGCACGTCTCCGGAGGGAATAGCCGGCTACATGTCGGCCTACAAACCTCTGGGACCCGGGGAGTTTGACCCCTACGTGGACGTGTACGCGGTCAGCAGCTGTGCAGGTGAATAATAATGAAACGGTTTCTAAGACGGATTGTGATTGTGTATTAGGCAAGTTCTTTTACAAGTTCTACGATGGATTATCAGGGGCCTCGTTGAAGGCAAAAATTCTAAATTTCTAGATTAGTCGTACATTTAAAGGTTTTTGTTTTTGTTGGGGGTTATGCTTTTATTTAGAGATTGGACAGAGGAAAGAGGAGCCACAGGTCGGATTCAAACCTGGGCCGCCCGCTGAAAGGACTATAGCCTCTGTATCTGAAGTAAAGACTAAAATAACGACTTTAATTACCTTAAATTTATGTCTTTTTCTAGTCAATTTATGATTTTGTTCTCGTGAATTTAGATTCAAGATTTGTGTGTCACATGCTCAAACAGATGTGCAGTGAAATATAAGATTAAGATTAACTTTATTGTCCCAGTGGGAGATTTGTCTTGGACTTCACAGAGCTCTGATGCAGTAGCAAAATAACAAAATCCATTCATTCGTCGGTAAAACATGTCAGTTAAATAATCATTAAATGCCATACAAGTGGATTACTAAAACCATAAATATGTAATAGTTAAGAAAGTGAAAAGACTGTTCTGCAGGGCCATGCAAGAAACACTTAAAAATGATTACTACACATATATATATATATATATGTATGTGTATATATATGTATATATATATATGTATGTGTATATATATGTATATATATATATATATGTATGTGTATATATATGTATATATATATATATATATATATGTATGTGTATATATATGTATATATATATATATGTATGTGTATATATATGTATATATATATATATGTATGTGTATATATATGTATATATATATATATGTATGTGTATATATATGTATATATATATATATATATATATATGTGTATATATATGTGTATATATATATATATATATATGTATGTGTATATATATGTATATATATATATATATGTATGTATGTGTATATATATGTATGTAGAAATGTAAGATTAAAAAAAGAAATATACAAAATGTAAACTGATTTCTATCACCCTCAATGTGGCCCTAACACTCCTCCGTAGTTTTCAAACATGTTTCAAATCATTAGTCAATGATCGTCGGATTCAGATCTTCAGTCTTCTTTTCAACAAAAAGCCGCTGCGAGCTAAAAAGAGAGAGAGCACACAAAACGTCACCAATATGTAAATGGCCTTGAGTTTGAGTTTTTATTTTCTAGTCTTCTGACTCCTCAAAGCACTTTCACACCTCATGTCACACCTACACATTCACACACTGATGGTCGAGGCTGCTGAGTGAAGAGTCCATCAGAAGTCATAAATCCAGTCATACACATTGTGTTAAAGCAGGAGCTACTTGGGGTTAAGTTTCTTGCCCAGGGACACATCGGTGTGTGTAGCTGCAGGAGTTAGGAGACGACCGACTCTACCAACTGAGTCAGAGTGCAGGAGTCTGTCTGTGTTATTTAGTCATTAAAAACAAGAACTGACCAGGTATCGGGGTCCTAGTATTTCTGTTGGTCGTTTGATTTTCACTAGAAAGGATTCCTCCTTCATGTTTCCATGTGTTCACTTTCAATATAATCATAAATGTCATCCGGAGAATCATAATGATACACTTCATTTCTTCACAGAGAGCTTTAATCTTGATGATTGTTATGTGAACCCTCCCCACACACACACACACACACAACACTGTCGATACAGGCCGTGTAACACAACCCTGATTGTTCTCTGCCTTTCATCTCAGGAGCCCCTCAGAGGGAGGTCTATTTCATGGGTCTGATTGACGTACTTACTCAGTACGACACCAAGAAGAAAGCCGCTCACGCTGCAAAAACTGTCAAACACGGGGTGAGTAGAAGAAGAGGAAGCTGTCAGCGCGTTCAGTCTGTACCTGAGCCGAGAGCGAGACATTCATGTTTGTTTTGTTATCATGTCATGAAGTAAACAGATTATATTTTCCTTCTCTCTCTCTCTCTCTCGCTCTCTCTCTCTCTCTCCCATTCTCCCCTTCTCCCCCTCTCTCTCCCCCTCTCCCCCTTTCTCTCTCCACCCTCTCTCTCCCTCTCTCTCCCTCTCTCTCTCCTCTCTCTCTCTCCACCCTCTCTCTCTCTCCACCCTCTCTCTTTCTCTCTCCACCCTCTCTCTCCTCTCTCTCTCTCCCCTCTCCCCCTCTCTCTCTCCACCCTCTCTCTCTCTCCACCCTCTCTCTTTCTCTCTCGCCACCCTCTCCCCCTCTCTCTCTCCACCCTCTCTCCCCCTCTCTCTCTCCCCCTCTCCCCCTTTCTCTCTCCACCCTCTCTCTCCCTCTCTCTCTCCTCTCTCTCCACCCTCTCTCTCTCTCCACCCTCTCTCTCCTCTCTCTACCTCTCTCTCTCCCCCTCTCTCCTCTCTCTACCTCTCTCTCTCCCCCTCTCTCCTCTCTCTCTCCACCCTCTCTCTCTCCACCCTCTCTCTCTCTCCGCCCTCCACCCTCTCTCTCTCCCTCTCTCTCCACCCTCTCTTCCTCCCTCCCTCCCTCCCTCACTCTCTCTCTCTCTCTCTCTCTCTCTCTCTCTCCACCCTCTTTCTCTCTCCCTCTCTCCACCCTCTCTTCCTCCCTCCCTCTCTCTCTCTCTCTCTCGCCCCCCTCTCTCTCTCTCTCCCTCTCCCTCCCCTCTCTCTCTGTTGCAGGCGGGTGCTGAGATCTCCACGGTCCACCCCGAGCAGTACGCCAAACGATTTCGCGACTTCATCTCAAACATTTTTGCGTAATGAACTCTACTGTAAGTCGACACAACTGACGGCTCAAAGTCGATTTTATGACCAAACGTAGTCTGCACACACAGATCATCATGTGCGTGATCTGAGGGCCACACGACTTGTAGCAATATGACGTACTTGTACTTCTGATGCCTCTATTTATTTTAAAGATTAAAGAAGCATTTCTAACGGGGATGAAGCGCTCGTCCACGCTGACTCCGGAGCAGCCGGAGGGTTCATGCAGACAAACTGCTGCTGATCACTGATCTTCAGTGTGAGATCAAATATCTCTCTCTCGTCTGGTTCCCCGGGCGAGGACTGAACTTTAAGAGTTTGACATTTTTAGAAGTGTGTTTGTTTGTTTTCTTGCCAAAAGTAAGAAGAGAGGATACAAACTCTGCTGTGTGTGTGTGTGAGGGAGAGAGAGAGAGTATGTGTGTTAAAGGTTTCCTTCAGAGTGCGTGGTTTCTGTCTACATAGATCTACACATACACAGTCCTGCTTATGATGTCACACTATTCCTTTGATCTATGCATGGAGATAACATGCCAAATGTGCCAAAAACAGAAACATTTAGAAGACTGCAAGCCCGTGAATATGTGTGTTAATCATGTTCATCAAAATGCCTCTAAAACAACGAGGTGATTCGGCTCTGTGATGGGGTTTGTCCTCATACTAGACCTTTAAACTTTGATATGCTTCCAGTAAAAATCCATCGATACCTGCAACACAAAGACATTCAGGGTGACCCAAATTAAAAAAAAAAAATCTTGATTTTAATGACTTAAAATTGCATTAGCGTCTAAAATTGCAGAAATACGTTGGAAACTTCTCTGTGTGCTCTCTTTCTCTCTTTCGCCCGCTCAGTATTGAAAAGCATTAATAATATTGACACCCTAACGTTCATCGACTATTAATCTGCACATTAATAATGTAAAAACTTGATAGTTGTTTTTGAACGTGTGCAGGGAAAAGCAGCACGTCCTTATTAATATCTGGAAATAGCAAATATTTAGATTCTCTGCTTGAAAATGATCTGATATTCCTTCCCCTTTAAATATTATTTTGATTTTGCCTTTATTGATACAAGCACTGTTGTTTATCTGAACGCAGATATCATGAAGCGATCTGTTCGACCTTCTCTCAGTGCGCTCGTTCACAAACATAAACACCAGGAGACAGGTAGCATATGTTCGCTTAAACACTGAAACAGGAGAAATGGTTAGCTTGGCTCTGTCCAAAACAGTAAAAATAAAATGTCCTCTAGCACTTCTAAATTAATATAATGTATCTGACTAACCCTAGCTGTACAAAAACACTAAAATGTCAAACAGAGTCAGGCTAGCTGTTTAACTTGTATCAGTGATGACCTTTTCTTCTTTTACTGGCAAGAAAACAAATAAACTTTACTTATAAATAAACTACTGTTCCTCATTTTGTCCTCTCTCTGCAGTCACCTTGAATCAAGAAGGATATTTTAAAATAATAACACTTGAGAGATGATGAATACTTATCTACTGACGCAGGCCATTTGGATGTTCTGAGTGCCAAACGTGTGGGATCAAAGCTTTTTTTTACCCTGCAGGGATTTTTTGCACTTAGCATAAATTAAATAAATTCTGTTGTCTGCAGAACATTTACATTAAAGACTTTCTAAACCAATCAAAATCCTGTTTTCCACCAAAGTCTCGACTAAATTTAAAAAGAAGACGGTACAGACGAGTTGTTGTTTTTAAACAGGGAAGATAAAAATGTGTGGTATTTAAAAAAAGACAGCATATCTTCTTATTGAGCCTGTAAACGTTTGCAGCATCTCTCGGCTGCTGAAGCCTGAACGGGGGGACTGTGAGGTGGGCGACCGAGCGTTTGAGTTGTATTCGCAGAGCTGCGTCTGCATCGATAACGTGACCTTTTCTAAGTGTTAGGATCAGGCCTGCCGTCAGCGTTCAGTTCATCAGAACACCCACCCACCATCTCACTCTGGACGGACTCCCTATAATGTGCGCTAAACGGCTAATGTGCGCCAAGTGGATCGTCGGGTTTAGGGAGCTGTTGTCTGTGTATTGTAATAATGACATTGAGTAATAACCAGGGTACTGTGTTAAACATTACTGACAATAACAACACTACATTTCAGTAGCTTCTGAAGTTAGCCTTAACCCAGTGACATGATGCAGCTGAACACTGGCTGGTCTCTGTCGATACAGTTCACTCTGTACCATGAAGGCCTCATCTACTCCATGATTGCACATGTTGTATTTTTTTTTTTTTTTGCAAATCAGCTTTTGGACCAAAAATATATTTTACAAAGAATTCTGAAATGTGTGTCTGAGTCATGATTTCCAAAATGCTTGTGTGAGGAAATGCTATAGAAACACTCCTATAATCCTGGGTCACTTTGAATACCTCGTATTACTTCTGTTGAAATTCACTGTTTGTGTCACGTACCCTTTTTTTTTTCTTTTTTTTTTCTTTTTTTTAACTTCCTTTAGTACCACTGTACATGTCATGTAGCCTTTTTACTTCATGTAGTGCCAATAGTGCCATTGAAAAGTTGTCTTAAAGGAAGAATGTTCAACATTAATAAAATGTAAACAGAAATATAGCAGAAATCGGGGCGCCCGTAGCCTAGCGGTTAGTGCGCGCCCCATGTACTGAGGCGTAGTCCTCCACGTCGGCCTGTGGTCATCGAGGCGGGCAGCCTGGGTTCGGGGCTCTGTCCTCTGTTTGTCTCTATAATAAAGGGTTGACTGTTAGGGACAAACAAGCCAGCCACCCTCACATTCACACCTATCAGGATTCACCTAGTTAACCTAACGAGCATGTCTTTGGACTGTGGGAGGAAGTCAGATTACCGAGATTGAACTCACATCTGCATGCACAGGGAGAACATGCAAACTCCACACAGAGAGGCCCGTGTGTGACGAGGGATACGAAAACAGGAACCTCCTCGCTGTGAGGCAACAGCGCTAAACCACAGCACCACCGTGGAGCCCCCACCCGATTCCCTGGTATAGAGAAAACCATGACGAGTATCAGAAACCAGTAACACATCTCAGAGGGAAAGACTGTTAAGGCTTGCTTTAGAAGTTTAAGAACATCCTATTATAGATGTGATTTGTTCATTGTTTTTTCATATGAAATAAATGAGGCAGCGTGCGAGCTCTGCTCACTTCCTGTTAGGGGAGGGGAAACAACACAAGTAGTCCAGGAAGACAACTGACACAACTCAGCATGCTAACAATTTAAACTCACTATTTTATTATACTGTTATCGACAGTTTAAGCCAATCAGAAACCTCCGGCGTTAAGAAAAGAAGTTGAAAGTTGGAAAAAAAAAAAAAAAAACTGAGTTCCTCAAGTGTCCACTAGAGGCCGGCTGCAAAAGCCAAAGAATCCTCATTTTGTCCAACAGTAAAATCTCAATTTTAAAGATTTATTTTTGGGCTTTTCGTGCCTTTAATGGAGAGATAGGACAGTGGATAGAGCTGGAAATCAGGGAGAGAGGGAGTGAGTGGGGAATGACATGCGGGAAAGGAGCCACAGGCTGGATTCGAACCTGGGCCGCCTGCTTTGAGGACTCCTCCACACATGGGGCGCGCGCACACTCACTTCTGCGCCACCAGTGCCCCTAAAATGCTAATTTTTACAGCAGAAATAATCATGTTTACGACCAGGTTCAAAAAACATTTCCTGTCTTTGTTTGTTAAAAATGCTTCCCTGAAGGCTAAGAGTTATACACATTTGCATAATAATGGGCGTGGCCGAGTTGACTGACAGGTGTGCATGTTGTAGCTGTTTTCCAGGAGGCTCAGCTCCACCTCTTCACCTGTTACTACGTTGATTAAAACTTAGGTCAAGACGGCATTTCCGGCTTCAGAATGCCTCTTCAGAAACGAATGGGTGACGTCAGAGAGACTGTGTCCATGACATATACAGTCTTTATAATCAACACAGTTCAAATCAGGCATCCTAACTCTAACTTTGAGCAGCTTAGTATGCTGATGTTAGCATTTCACTTGACTGTCTTATCTTCACAATAAATGGTTTTACTGGTAGATGGGTAACTGTGGGTCATATCAAGTCATCTTTAAGTGTTTGTTTCTTCATAGTTTTT